TTTGGCCTTGCATTGATTTCTTGTGTGTACTAAGAAAACCATTTATTTCTTTAAAGTTCTACTGAAAGTGACCTGTTTGAATATAATTAATTATAAATAATTATTTTGATAAGCAAATCAAGTAAAACCATTTGGGTTTGAAACTTAGGATATATTAGTTGATATCTGGAGGGTTTTGAAATTTTTCGAACAACGTGGAGTGGATTTTGTAATTTTCAAAATTAACGAATAGATTAGGAAAACTTGTTTAAAATTTTGTTTTATCTTAAAGTTACTTTTAGTTAAATTTCGGTTGGAACCCATGTCTTGGGTAATTTTAGACATTGAAGAACATGAATTTAGGTATTATTTAATAGTAACGATGAGTGGGGTTGAGCTGTATTAGTGCGCTTTAGTGTGGGGTACTTAGTTTATTATTATCTTCAGTATTTTTAAATTAGTAGTGATGTGTAGTCTTCATACTTAGTTCAGGGTACTAGTTGGACTTTCATACTCTATTCAAGGATTATATTATTTCGTTTTCAGGTGAGTAGTTCATGCTACATATTTTTATAAATGTTCCCCTACCCTGAACTGATGGAAAATTTAATTGTTGTTTCTAGACTAAACTGTTTTGATAAATTATTATATTATCAATGGAATCAAATTATTTCTGAAATATTTGTGAACTTGGCATATTGTAAACTATTTGTTTTGGTCTTATGTTTATAATGGTACACTACCATGTTTTGCGAAACTGATATGTATTGATTATTGGGACCATCTGTATATTTTAGTCCAGGAAAGCAATTCCATTGTGTGTGGTGACTCTAGCCACTAGGGAACAGATCCGAGTTGGGCCATGATGACTCTAGTGCTCAACGATCGTAAGGAAAAGACCTAGGTTAGGCTAGGTGACTTTCAATCGGATCGTCTTAGAGAAAAGGCCCAGGTTGCCACCCTGAGGATGACTCTTAATTCAGTATTGGATCCAACAAGGCTTATAGCCTTGAGAACTGTGTGACATGTTTCTTGTTATTTCTTGGTACCCAGAAATTTATTGGTGTTCATGTTGTAATCTGTTTTAAGTGGAAAATGTCATTTATCATGTTCTTGAGAGACATGAGTATTTTAACTGTTAAACTGTGGAACATTGTTTTTAAAACAGATTCTCTTTACCAAACTGTATGCCAATCTAATTTCTGTGATATATATTTTATTTTGCCATTGAACCCTGTTTTCAAAACTGTATTTACTATCCATGTTGCTACTCACTGAGCTATTAGCTGACTTAGTTGTTTATCATTTCCAGGTGTTAGAATGACTTAGAGTGGACTCATGCCGTAGCGGGGACTCAATTGCATGGACCTCTATGACATTTATTTATTTTGTTTTAGATTGTTATGTCAAGTTTGTGCATATTTATTTTTATTTTTTTATTGGGGTTCATTTAAGATTATTTTGATATGTGGGCCGTTTATATCTCATAAATTTAGATGGTATTGTTTACGGTTGATTTTACCGTTTATAATTGTGACATGTCACTGGATTGAGTTTTGGTTATTTGGTACTGGACTATTGTATAGTTATTCAATGTGTTTATGGATTCGTGTTTAGGCTTATGTATGCCTTGGGCTAAGGCCCTGTGGGCCACGGCCGGTCATACCTGGGTTTGAGGTTTGACAAAGTGCGTTCATAACTTGACGTTTATTGGTCGAAGTTGTGGAATTTCATTAAGATTTTGGGAGATAACTTGATAAATGTCAAATGATAAATGGTATGGAGCAATATTCTTAGACCATCAAGTAATTTCTTCTCAATTATTAACAAATATCACTTTGATCCCCTCATCGATAAATCTATATATATTGATCCTTTTAATTATAAAAGTCATACAAATAGATCCGTTTTGAAGATGGTGTGAGAGGATGAAAATAATATATTTTTATAATTGAAGAAATCAAAATACATAAACTTATAAATGAAGGGTCAAAATGATATTTACAGTTTGTTAGAATTAAGTATTAACATCTCTCTAAAAACTTTTTAAGGGACCTAATTTATTATTTTTAAAACCACTCTAATAAAATATTTGATAAGTATTAAATTTTACAGCAATGATAGAGGGCCCGAATTTCCCAGGCTCGAATGGCTCGAATTGAACAAAACGACGTCGTTTTGGACACAAAACAACACAAAACGATGTCGTTTTGGTCAATTTGAGCCATTTGAGCCGCGAATATTGTGGCCACCAAACATTTTTCTTAAAAAAAAAGAAAAATGAATCCTTGCAATTTGCAAGAAAGTCCAGAAGTAGCGGGATCTTCGACTTCCTATCTCTCACATTACTTTACTAAACCAAAGTATTCGTTTGCATACAATCTATCGTCTCTCTCTTTACAAGTTCTCTCTCTCACTTTGTGGATCTAACTGGGTCTTTCTCATATCTCCGATAATCGTCTGAACTAATGATAAACTGATGATCAACGCTAACATTCTGGTGAAATCAACTGATATCTGACAAAGAGCAGAGGATGAAAAAAAAAAAAAAAAAAGATAGGTAATTTAACAATTTTAGTGCTTTCGTCTCTTTTAGTCTTCAATTTATTATTTTCTCCATAACTTTTATTTTACGACAATGCTACGTATCTCAAATTTTGTGACTCAAAAGTAGCTCAAATGGCCAAAACGACGTCGTTTTGAGTACAGAACAACATAAAAATAGCCAAAACGATGTCGTTTTGGCCATTTGAACCACTTTTAAGCCACAAAATTTGAGTTACGAGACATTTTCCTTTATTTTAAATTAATGAAAACCGTGCTAGGTACCGAATGTAAAAAAATTAATAAAATATATTTATATAAAATAATATAAATAATTATATTTTTATATGCAAATTATGAAAAAATATATATATATATTAAATTTACAATTTAAGTTTTACAATTTTATTGTAATTTATATATTAATTTTTAATTTGTCATAATTTAGCAAATGTCTCTTTCAATTTAGTTTATAAATAAAAAGTACCTATTCGATTTTTAAAAGGTTCACATTATTAAAAAGAAATTTATTGAAAAATATCTCTGTCTATAATTATAAAAATACTGACTTTATTATATAAAAAAATTCCACCAACTTAGAAAGTCTTCAATTTATTTTCTACCTAGACTTCATTTTAAATGTGTAAGAGCTAATTACCTTGTAACTTTATTTTCACAAACTAATTCTATTCAGTTCACTCACTTAATGGAAATTTTCGTTAGTATAATTTTGTCTTAGAATAAAAATATCATAATACATTCATCTTCTTTTACTCAAACCCTATTTCTAAAACGCCACCATTATTCTTTATCACCAACGCCACTTCTCTCATCTATTGGGCCAGTCCACGGACCAAAAAATTAAGCCCAGGTCCAAGTCTAAGTCTAGGGGTATTCGGGCCTTGGGTGGGCCGGCCAAATGGGCTCGGGCCTGGCCTCGGACTTAGGCAGTCCTGACCTTTTTTTTTTTTTTTGAAAATTTTTTCTACTAAAATTTTATTATTTTTTATTAAAAAATATACTGGCCTCGAGCAGACCAGGCTTCCGGCTAGGCCTTAAATAGGCCTTAAGCGGGCCGATAGGCGGGGCCAAGCAGGCTGGGCCCACGGGGCAGGCCGGGCTTCAAAACCATGGCCCAAGCCCTAACATAGGGGCTCGGGCCTGGGCCCAAGCGAGTCTAAACGGGTCGGGCCCATTTCGGGCCGCGGGCGGGCTTCGGGCCACTTTTTTTACCCTTATCTATTTAGTACAGTTTTAGAATACGTTTTCAAAAATAAATAATAAAAAAAACCTTATTATTTCAATATGGTTTCATCTTTTTAGGGGCAAAAAAAATTAAAAATATTTTTTTGGTATTTATTTTTGTTAAATTAGTTTATATTTTTCTCATAAAAATTTCAAAAAATTGATTCAAAAATTGAAACCAAACAAAGCCTTAGGGTTTTAAAATTGAAAATGAGGGTATTGGAATATAGAGATTTGTACTGAGAATTTATATTTTTATAATGTATGTATTGAGAAAGTATTCATTAAATGTGTGTACTGAGGGGAATTAGTGTGTAGAAATAGAATTACCCCTAACTACCGGATAATTTATATCAATTTTCATTTCTTTTCCTTTTATAACCCTCACAAAAAAATTAAAAAAACAAAAATTACAAAATTAATCAGTGTGTTTGATTTCAGTTTTCTGAATTTAGTTTTTTGAAAATTAAATTTTTTGTTTATCACACTTTTTTTTTTTTTACTATTTTAGAAGCACCTTACTTAGATATATCTAAAAAGTAAAATATTTTTGAAAATATTTTAAAAAATTAATAAATAAACAAAAATATAAAAAAAAATGCATGGAATTTTTGTTGTTGTTTTTGTATTTTTTGATATTTAGTGTATTTTTTAAAGATTTTTTTACAAATATTATACTTATTAAATATATTTATGTTAAGTGTGTCTAAAAATTAAAAAAAAAAATTCATAAAATATTAAAAATATTCATTAAAAACATTAAAATATAAAAAATAAAAAAAAAAAAAATTTTTAAAAATTATTTTCTGAAAACCAAAACTAAACAAAGTGATAAATTTTTGGGTGCGAATAGAATTCCCTATCGAACCAATTTACAGTCCTACTCTATTGGCTGAGCAAGTTCCAATAAAGAAGATTACATGTTCTCTGATGAAAACTTTGTGGCACAATTTTTGCATCATACATATGAGGATCGGAATCGTGAAAATTATAGTTGATTTGAGGTGGTGCAAAAAGAAAACAGAAAAAATAAATGAAATAATCTTTTTTAAACCATTATATTAGAAAAATACTATATGCCTTAAATTTTCTAATAAATAAATAATCAAATATTTTATATAGGTATGTAATATTAAGAAAAATGTTATACGTTTTAAATTTTTTACCAAACAAATGACCAAAAATTTTACACCAATCAAATAACCAAAAGTTTCACATGAATGTGAAATAAGATGTCTGTCCCTGTTCTCATCTCTGCTGCTCAGGTGATCCTGAATCCCTTGATTCCACTAGCAACTGAACAGATCAAACTGGCCTGGGGTTTCAAGGATGACCTTCGAAGGCTTAAAGATAGGTTGGAATTGGCACAAGCTCTGTTACGTGATGCTGAGAACCACCGGCGAGTAAATCTAGAAGTCCTGCAACTTTGGCTGAAGAAACTCAACTCTGTTACATGCAGTGCTGATGACGTGATGGATGAACTTGCCTTTGAAGTCCTTCGACGAAAGATGGAGGTACAAAACCGATTCAAGATGGCTAATAAGGTCAAGAACAACAAGGTACGCAAGTTCTTCTTCTTCTGCCTTTCAAATCCTCTGCCATTTCGTTTCAAGATGGCTAATAAGGTCAAGAATATCAATTTGTTGTTAGATGATCTTTGTAAAGGAGCAAATGACATCGGTCTTAGACTAGCTGATCAGATCTTAAATGCTGCTAGTACTAGTGTTGAACCTAGAGAAGTCAATTTCAGGCTGACTCACCCCTTTGTAGATGATAAACAAGTTGTGGGAAGGGATGGTGATGTGTCAACAGTGATAGACATGTTACTTAGCTCTGACAACACTGTAGATGATTTACCTGTCATTGCCATTGTAGGAATGGGTGGGATGGGCAAGACAACCCTTGCTCAGCTAGTTTACAACAATGAGAAGGTGGTGAAGCATTTTGGTGATCAAAGGATGTGGATTTGTGTGTCTGATGATTTCATAGTTCCAAAGCTATTGAATCAGATGGTACAATCTCTTACACGAGATACGTCTGAGATAGAAAATATTGAAGGAATAGTGAGAAAGCTTGGTGAAAAACTAAATGGAAAAAAATATTTGCTTGTACTCGACGATGTTTGGAATGAAAATCCAGACAAATGGGAGTGCATGAGAAATTCTTTGCTAGGGATAGGTGGATCTAAGGGAAGCAAAATTATAGCTACAACCAGGAGTATGCATGTGGTATCTACCATGAGGACATCTCCATCTCTCACTCATCATTTGAACCAACTATCAGAACATGAAAGTTGGACCATGTTTCGGAAAAGAGCATTTGCAAATGGAGGACCAACAGAGACCCCAAATTTGGTGGCTATTGGCAGAAAAATGGTGGAAAAGTGTAAGGGTGTACCATTGGCAATAAAGTCACTAGGAGGTTTAATGTACTCTAAGCAATACAATTACGAATGGGTGTCGATTGAAAATAGTGAAATATGGAGCTCAACTGAAATCAAAAGTGGAATTCAACCGATATTAAGGTTAAGTTTTGATCACTTACCATCACCGTATTTGAAACATTATTTTGCGTATTGTTCTATTTTTCCAAAAGATTTCGACATTCAAAAGGATAAGTTGATTCAGCTTTGGATGGCTCAAGGATATCTCCAGCCTTCTTCGGCAAGCAATTTGGAAATGGAAGATGTTGGTAACGATTATTTTAATATTTTGTTGCACAATTCTTTATTTCAAGATATTGAATTGGATGAGTACAATAATATTACCAGTTGCAAAATGCACGATCTTGTGCATGATTTGGCACTAGATGTCTCAGAGGGTAACTGTTTGGCTTTGACTTCTATTGCTAGTGAGGCGAATTACCATCCCGAGGTTCAACATCTGTCATTTGATTTAATGCGAAATGTAAGTTTTGAAATTCCAAAAGAAAATGTTGGGAAATTGAGGACACTACTTTTAAAAGAAAGTCTCCCTAAAAACATTTATGAAGTCAAATGTATACGTGCCCTGAAGTTGGAAGGGTACGAAGTGGAAGAGTTGCCAGATTCCATATGTAAGTTCATACATTTGAGATACCTTGATATCTCAAGGTCACATATTGAAACACTACCAAATTTTATCACCAAGCTCTACAATTTACAAACACTAAGACTTTCACATTTAACCCAGTTGAAAAAGCTTTCAAAAAAGTTCTATAAGTTGGTTAGCTTGAGACATTTTTGTATTGATTACAAAACATGGGACAGGGAATTCATGCCAATGATGATAGGGAAGTTGACTTCTTTGCAGACACTACCATTCTTTGTTGTGGGTGAGGATAAGGGCCATAAGATTGAAGAGCTGGGTAGCTTAAGCAAACTAAGAGGTAAATTAATGATTTACAATCTCAAACAGGTGAAAGGCAAGAAAGAAGCAGAAAAGGCAAATATATCAGGAAAGCTAAACATTCATGAATTGAGATTTCGTTGGGATATGTGGGAGGGTCGTTCAACAGCAGAAGACACTGCTAGCATTAACCACAAAGACGTGCTGGAAGGACTTAAACCTCATGGGAGCCTTAAGGTTTTAAAACTTGAGAAATTTGAAGGACAAAATTTTGCATCATGGATGATGAGTGGTAGGGATGCACAGTTGCTTCAAAATTTGGTTAAGATAGAATTATCCGAGTGCACGAGATGTGAACAAGTCCCACCTCTCGGACACCTTCCGCATCTTGAGGTCATTAGAATGTATAGATTAAGTAATCTGAAATGTATTGGTCCTGAATTCTATGGTTGTCACAGTGTTGTTAATCATGATCAATGTAATGATGGCATCATCACTGGTAGCTATAGTGGGGGAGTAACAACAGCAACAGCAAAAGCTATGGCCGTTGTATTTCCAGCACTAAGAGAACTCTATCTGGATGATATGGAAAACCTAGAAGAATGGTGTGGGCTTGGGGTAACATCATCGTCGTTGGACACCACGATGTTCTTTCCTCTGCTTGAGTTTGTACGCATTAGGGATTGCCCCGAGTTGACTACAATTCCAGGTCACTTGTTATCCTTGCAGGAATTGATTTGCGGTGATCACCCAGAAACGCATCGCCCTACACATCACCCTTACTTGAGAATAGCATCTAGGGGTTCGAAGATGGGTGTTTTACTGGTAGATTTCCTGGAAAAAAGCAGCAAAACCCTAAGAAAGATGACAGCAATTTCTTTGAAAGAGCTATGTTATTTACCAAAGGGGCTGTTACAACAAACCCTTGTAACATTAGAGATAGAATATTGTCCGAATTTAGTAATTGCTGATCCAGATGAATTATGCAGCCTCCCATCCCTTCAGAGCTTGACGATTATACAATGTCCAAGATTGGCTGGTTGTTGGGAGGAGAGGCTATTTTGCCTGACCAGCCTTCAAACATTGAAGATAGGTTTCTTCTCAGAAGAGCTCGAATATTTCCCCTGGCCTTCCACCACCGTAAGTGCTGCATCTGCATCTGCTTCCAAATATCACCCAAACCCCAAACACTACCCCTTCATCTCCTTGGTGTCTCTGACTCTACTTGGCTGGAAAAGGCTCAAGTATCTGCCTGATCAACTTCAGCACCTCACTACCTTGAGAGACTTGTCAATTTCACAGTTTCATGGACTCGAAGCTCTGCCGGAGTGGCTGGGTAACATTTCATCTCTTCATTCATTAGAACTTCACAGATGCGATGCAAATCTTCCCACCCAGGAAGCAATGCAACGCCTCACCAATTTACAATCTTTGAAAATATATAATTGTCCCCTTCTAGAGGAAAGATGCGCAAGGGGAAGTGGCCAAGAATGGCACAAGATTGCCCATATTCCATCCATCCACATCAGGCCCTATTAAAGGTAACTTATATATTTCTCCAATTGTTATCCATATTCATGATTTCTTCTCCTCTCTTCTCACCCCCATCCCATCCCCCACCTTCCCAATGGTGTTTGATTGTTTCCTTTTATCTCACAACCCCTTTTTGGGTTTCAGATCACGAGATGAATGATGAATCTTCCCCTACAAATGATGAATATTCTTCTTCAAGATGAACCATTAGATAGTCTACTGCCAATTATGTAATTTCCTTGTTAACTTCTCTCTCTCTCTCTCTCTAAAATTCATCAGTTTTATTAATCTAGCTTTTTGATATGTATTATACATTTTATTTGGTCTCTAGTGTACGCTTAGCCAAATCATGAGTATGTAATGGTTTATAACACAATAACAACTCATTCAGCACATGTTTTTGCTTTTGCTTTTGCTTTCAGTTTTTTGAAAACTATTTTATAGACAAGGCTCCAAAATGTAACACAAGCAGTGTATTCAATGGTTTCCAAAACAAGTGCAATCACACCAACGAACATTTAAACAAAAGCTCATTACCACTTTAAATTCTCTTGGGAAAAACAATAATATGTTTCCTGTTCTCTACAAAACAAAAAAACATGCAACCAAATGACCACTAAGTCTCTTGCAACTTAGAAGTTGAGTTAAAGATCCAAACTTAGAAGTTGAGTTAAACCAGACTGTCCTTGAAAATATATATATATATATGATAACATAATTTCAAGTTATTTTTGGTGCTTACCTCTTGTGCTGCTTAGGTGGCTCCTTCTCAGACTTCTTTTGAATGGAATCTGCGTGGATGGCAGCATGAACTTTCTTGTACAGCTCCTCAATGCCATCAGGCTCAATTCCTCTCTTGATATACTCAACAAAATGAGACTGATACTTCTCTGGTTCATCTTCCATCAAAATCTAAGTAACAACCAATAAAATCAAGTTCATGGCTGAAAAATAAGTGTTACAAGAGGCATAAATTCACATCTTAACCCTTACCTTCATATATGCAACGACATGCCCACCATAAATATACTTGCGGTGAACCTCAGCATCCAGGTGCTTAGATTCCTTCAAGAAACCAGAAAATCTCTTATCACTGTGAGGGATATCCAACCCGCCATCCAATGCTACCTGCAATGAAAGTATAGCACAGACATGAAATTTCATACAGGGACAAATAATTATAGCAAAGCAGGGAACATATAGACAGCGATGCAATAGCATGAATATTGCCAAAAGATCAAAGACAACTAGGCATGACAAATTAAAAAAAAAGAGACCAGACAAAGTTGTGAAGTTCAACATCCCTTAATTCATTCATGACTTGAAACATACATGCAGTTGAGGAACCCTGAGTCCTGGGACATCTCATAAAATCATTTTTTTTTGAGAAAAGCCAAAAACTTGCATGACTGCTTTGCTGTGATGCTAGATTCACATCCCTAACTAAATAGGAATAGTTAAAAAATTGGCAGATGGCTACTATTGTGAACAACATTTTATGGTGCCATGAACCATTTTAGTTCCATTAGTAGAATGGATGCTCCCATTATACCACAGTATAACTTGCTGGTTGGAAAAGGATGTTCAAATTGACAAGAAAAACGCCTTCTTTGAACTGTTGGATTATATTAACAATTTAGGAATAAATAACAAACACAAAATTGACAAGGACTGCTCTGAATATTATCAGGAACCAAATTTCATTTTGATAAAATTAAGATTAATAATTCTCATAAGCAAACATAACTTCAGAGATATAGCAACAGACTAAAACACAAACTGATCAATTAGAACATTTCATCAACAATAAAACACTGTGTGTAAAAATTTATGTATTATTGATTGATGTTTATTGATATCTATTACAATGATTCATGATTCCTATATATAGAAGAGGGTGAGTGTGTAGTAGGTAAGGAGTAGGTGAAGTGGAGGTGGTAGTGGTGTAGTGGGTTAGGTTTAGTGGAGTAGGTGAGGTGGTAGTGGTGTAGTGGGTTAGGTTTAGTGGAGTAGGTTTAAGTGGATGAAGTAGGTGGAGAGTAGGTGGATTTTAACACTGTGCATTTATGGTAAGAAAAGCTCATCCAACTATAAATATTTTAGCTTTCAGCCTAACAGCATTGATAAGAGAGAGGCTCTTGTATATGGCTAGGAAGTCTAACACTTGAAGCCATAACTGACCCAGAGAAACAAATAAAATATGGCCCAATAAAATAGGAAAACACATGTCAAAACAAGGTGTGTTATGAAATGATATCTCCCACTTGCATAACAGACTCCGTGTCAAAAAAAATGTGACTACAGTTATACAGTATTCATATCACATATCACAAACAAACAAAATTGGTAAAATATCACAAAAAATATATATACCAATCATCAAATTATCTGCATGTCAATAAGAACATATGGAGTACCTCATTCTAGTAATAAGTTCAAATAGTATAGTTGTTTATTGTACGATGTGTGCATGGAAATACCTTCAGAGCACCAAAGACATGGTTCCCAGTGGTAGTTCTAATAAGGCCAACATCAAGGAGAGCATGGAATGGCCTCCTACTCTCTGCTGGCTCAACTGAGAAATCCTCTCCAGTTGCCTAACAATATAGAAGTCCATATGTACATTAAATCTAACAATGCAAAAGAGGAAAAGGATACTATAAATGCTAAACATGAATCAGGCATACCTCCACATTGCCCTCATACTCATTGTCCATCTCGAGCATTTTCAAGACACGGGGTGCCAAGAGCAATCAGGTACAGTAAGCTGCCAACATCAGTTACAGAAATCAAAACCGCAGATAGAAGCAAGCAGCCATCAACCGAAAGACATGGGGAAAGATAAAGAGGAAACGACAGGAGGGCAAAGAGTAGTTACGATACCTGCAGCATAATTTGTGAGACCTACTTCGAGCCCATAGCAAGGCAGCTCATGGGCATATGCTGAAGCAAGGACCATATCCCCAGCAAATGCTAGCAGATATTATTTGTGCAAATCTGTTTGATCTGTTTACTTGCCTGACAAAATGCAGGCTGATAACCTAATGTTCACAACTGGCATCTCATTCAATTTACAAGAAATCAGGAGAAAAGAAAAATCAAAAGAAAAGAAAATTTCATTACAATGTGGAGGAGAGGTTTAATCTTTGTTGGAAGGTATTAAGTTATTTGAATTTTCCCCTATAATTCAGTCTGTTTCAGAATCTAATTGTTATTACCAAATTATTCAGATTTTCCCATTTCAATTGGGATCCAACAATACATATGAAATTTCATAATTGATGTTAATTTTGAAATCTGTGGAGCTTACTATTGGGTTGTTAGTTTAAAGTTCCTGGTCTAGGGTACTTCATGCAAGAAGCATCAGAGTTTGTAGACATTTATAAATTAGTTTGTGTCTTACACTTCAGGGAGCCATAGCCCTTTTTAACATCTTATATCTTATTTTAAATGCCATGAATTATTGATTATGTCGTTCTATTTGCTTTTGTTGTATTTTCTGTTTTTCTTTTCCTTTACTTTTTTTAATATAAGGAAACTAAATTAGTCCAAATTATATTTCTTTTGTAGGTCCTGCAACAACTTGATTTTTAAAATTTCCATTCTACAAATTCTAATCAGTTTGACTAACCATTTTAGAAGGATAAAATATGCAAGACAAACTCTAAAAGGCAGATATGTTATTGCAGATTGCATTTTCTTTTCATTTGATCTGGTAGAGGAGCTTGCAAGAAAACCGTCCCAGGTGGGGAATCCGTGCACAACCTTGCTGACTATATATAATCTTTGAATTTGGACAAGACGGTAAGTATATATTGTTGTGAATATATATGCTCTGACAATTTTCTTTTATGGTGTATCAAGGCTAACTGCAAATTTTCTGATCAAATTCATGTTCCAGGCTCTAGCCTTCTACATGTTTCCATGATTGGAGACATCAAATTCTATTATTCATGATAGTATGGTAGAAAGTAGGGTAAACTACTGACCTCCCTTTATATTTTTTTTTAATCATAAAAACCTCTCTTCAGGTTTTGAAATGACACTGATCTCCCATCTGGTTGACTCACATGACATATACCCCCTCCATACCATTTTTGTTAGTAAGATTCACAGTTAAACGTTGAGGTCATTCATTCATATTTTTAAAAATACCATTTTTACCCTTTGACGTCATAAATATTTTAGAGTTTCAGGTTTATAGCAATTGCAGAGGCCTTATGACGTTTTTAAAATGAAACTACCTTCCCTCTATTTTGAAAAATTAAAGATTTTTCCTATCAGAATTTTGTTAGCTTAGTGGTTAGAAGATCATGTGCATGTGCTGGTCCCACTAAAGATATCTGTTAACTTTACACGGATACAAAACGTAATAAAATACATCCGCTAGCCCATGAATGTCACTATGATTATTATCGAATTTCCTTCTATCATCAGCACTTGACAATATGTCCAAATTTCCTCAACAATCAAGCAAAAAAAATAATTGCAAAACAGCTCATGGGCATATGCTGAAGCAAGGACCATATCCCCAGCAAATGCTAGCAGATATTATTTGTGCAAATCTGTTTGATCTGTTTACTTGCCTGACAAAATGCAGGCTGATAACCTAATGTTCACAACTGGCATCTCATTCAATTTACAAGAAATCAGGAGAAAAGAAAAATCAAAAGAAAAGAAAATTTCATTACAATGTGGAGGAGAGGTTTAATCTTTGTTGGAAGGTATTAAGTTATTTGAATTTTCCCCTATAATTCAGTCTGTTTCAGAATCTAATTGTTATTACCAAATTATTCAGATTTTCCCATTTCAATTGGGATCCAACAATACATATGAAATTTCATAATTGATGTTAATTTTGAAATCTGTGGAGCTTACTATTGGGTTGTTAGTTTAAAGTTCCTGGTCTAGGGTACTTCATGCAAGAAGCATCAGAGTTTGTAGACATTTATAAATTAGTTTGTGTCTTACACTTCAGGGAGCCATAGCCCTTTTTAACATCTTATATCTTATTTTAAATGCCATGAATTATTGATTATGTCGTTCTATTTGCTTTTGTTGTATTTTCTGTTTTTCTTTTCCTTTACTTTTTGTAATATAAGGAAACTAAATTAGTCCAAATTATATTTCTTTTGTAGGTCCTGCAACAATTTGATTTTTAAAATTTCCATTCTACAAATTCTAATCAGTTTGACTAACCATTTTAGAAGGATAAAATATGCAAGACAAACTCTAAAAGGCAGATATGGTATTGCAGATTGCATTTTCTTTTCATTTGATCTGGTAGAGGAGCTTGCAAGAAAACCGTCCCAGGTGGGGAATCCATGCACAACCTTGCTGACTATATATAATCTTTGAATTTGGACAAGACGGTAAGTATATATTGTTGTGAATATATATGCTCTGACAATTTTCTTTTTTGGTGTATCAAAGCTAACTGCAAATTTTCTGATCATGTTCCAGGCTCTAGCCTTCTACATGTTTCCATGATTGGAGACATCAAATTCTATTATTCATGATAGTATGGTAGAAAGTAGGGTAAACTACTGACCTCCCTTTATATTTTTTTTTAATCATAAAAACCTCTCTTCAGGTTTTGAAATGACACTGATCTCCCATCTGGTTGACTCACATGACATATACCCCCTCCATACCATTTTTGTTAGTAAGATTCACAGTTAAACGTTGAGGTCATCCATTCATATTTTTAAAAATACCATTTTTACCCTTTGACGTCATAAATATTTTAGAGTTTCAGGTTTATAGCAATTGCAGAGGCCTTATGAAGTTTTTAAAATGAAACTACCTTCCCTCTATTTTGAAAAATTAAAGATTTTTCCTATCAGAATTTTGTTAGCTTAGTGGTTAGATGATCATGTGCATGTGCTGGTCCCACTAAAGATATCTGTTAACTTTACACGGATACAAAACGTAATAAAATACATCCGCTAGCCCATGAATGTCACTATGATTATTATCGAATTTCCTTCTATCATCAGCACTTGACAATATGTCCAAATTTCCTCAACAATCAAGCAAAAAAAATAATTGCAAAACACTAATTTCTCAACCCACCAACCCATGTAATGTAACGTAGACAAAACATGTAATGCAGATTTGTCACAAGAGGTTAAATTAATTACCAATCTCGTGAGGCATAGTGACATTACGATAAGCAGAAAAGAATGACTTAAGAGTTATCATTTCATTTATATCTTCCTTTTTTTATTTATAATTTTGTCCCTACATAAAATTGCCATTAATAATAACTCATACTAAACTTTCAAAACTCTAATTTCTCAACCCACCAACCCTTCTTCACCGCCACCGCCACCTCCATTCACTACTCGCCGCCATACCACCCCTTTCCACCCCCATTAACCGAAGCAAGATAAATATAAATAGAGCTAATTACATGGACCTTCTTAAGGTATTTGACAATTACATATATTTTCCTTGTGATTTTTGAAATGACAAAGAAGTTGCAACTATCATCCGTGTATGGTGGGATCTCGAGTTTTGCTTTGATTGAGTTGGTCAATCGTAATTGATCACCGAATATTTCTCCTCCACCCACACCCGCACCAGCATCAGCTAGAATCACGCCAAAGTTATACGAATTGAAAGGGCTGTGAAAGATTATTCCATTTTCTTAAAAAACCTTTTATTGCATATCTAAAGCAAAACAGAGTTCTCACTCCCAACCTCACGCAAAGTTCTGATTCTTCAATTAAATCAAATCAAGGCAATTACTTACATCAGCTTTCTTTCATGCAAAGAGTTTAAAAGATCAAATATTAAAGTTGA